GCCCCCCCCCCGGCCTCGACGCGAGGGGCGGGCCCGGGCGACTGGGCTGCGGCCGGGAGGGCTGCCCGGAGGACGCGCAAGTTCTTTGTCAAGCAACAGATGTTCCGGAGGAACTCCCTGCGCCGCGCTGCGGGACTGGAGGGGAGCGCTGCCCCTCCGCGCCTCCCCCGGGAGCCCGGTCGCAGCCCAGACCTGCCCGGAGTGTGCGCTCAGCAGATTCGACCCCGCTCGGCCGAAGTTGGAGTCTGGCCGCACTCACCCGAGACTGGAGGGGTGCCCGCGTGGGCCAGGGCTCCTGGGAGCTCAGAGGTCTGGGGCCAGGCGCTGGCATCAACGCGCCCAGCTAGCGGGGCAGGCGGCGTGAACGCTAGGCAGTCCTGGCTCCCAGAAATCAGGACTTCAGGGTTCACGTTTGCTTCGTGAGCGGGTCACCAGCTCACTTCCGTGGGCGCAGGATTCAAGTCCTCCCTGTACGCTCTCGCCGTCGCCCTGGCTCTCCGAAGTAACTTCCCCAGGCACAGGCTGCTCCGTCCCATGGCACCTGCAGACGGGGGAAATGTGCCACTGCATGTGTACACACGTGTGTTATGAAGTGGCCTCATGTTACATACAGTGTGCAACCTGCTCCCCGTCCCCCATCAGTCTGCTGTGAGCATTTTGTCAGTAGACATTCATGTCCGCGTGCCTCTTTCTTCCTTTCCTTTTTTTCTGAATTGCAAGAGGGCACAGACGCTCCCCAGAGGGAGCAAGCGTCCTCCACCAGGGTGTAGTCAGGCTGCAGCCCTCCTCGCCACCTCCTGTGGGCCTTTGGGGCAGGCAATCGCAGGAGCCCAAGACATCTGTAAGAATACCAGGCAGAGTTGGAACGTGTGGGCTGCCGGAGCCGCCTCCCCAGGCAGGGCCAGCCCTGTGTCAGGATTCTCAGCAGCTGCGTGGGCTGGCACATTCTTCAACTTGGAGTTTAAACAGCTGCCGTTAGTGAGTGTCCACCGACATGGTGATGCATCAGAAGGAGCACTCGGAATCTCGGGGGTGTACAGAAAGGAATGTCCGCTTGGTTTACACGCGGGCAGGGCTTCCACTGATCCGGGCTCAGCCAGGGCAGTATCCACCGAGTCGGGCTCACTCCCGCCTCTGCACTGGTGAGCTGCGGAGTTCCGCCTGCTCCCTTGCTAGGTGCTTACTTGGGGGCCTGACCTGGCTGGCTCCTGGCTCCTCTGGAATTGCCACAGCGGGGACATTGAGGGCAGCTGGCTGCTCCCAGGAGCTCCCCTCCAGGAGGCGACCCAGGTCTGTCCTGAATCTGTTCTCAGGACCAGGCAGAGAAGCGAGTTGCAAGCTCTCACTTGTGTCCAGTTGGCTGAAGCAGGCCGTGTGCCAAGCATGCAGAGTGACCACCAGGCAAATGGCGTGGGTGTAGAGAGGGCGGGGCATCAGGGACTACTTTTGCAGTGAATTCTTTTTTAAAAAACATTTTTGAAAGAATTATTTATCTAACGTTATTTATTTATTTATTTATTCATTTTAATTTGACCAGAGAGGGACACACACACACACACACACACACACACACACACACAGAAGGAAAGTGAGAAAGCCACACGCCAG